CCTTATTCCACCAATTGTCCATAACATAGACAGGATATTCAAACCATCTGTTACACCATGAGGCCTGCCAGCTGCCTCATGGGTCAACACTGTCTCTGAGGTTTTTACTGTTCCTACCGTACTCTTTGGCCCCATTTTCATGCAAATTAAGACTTGACACAACCCAGGATGGCAGGAGTGCCCTGCGCAACGAGTAATCAGGATGACACAGAGATTAACGGTGTGGAGTGATGTAAAACGATGTAAAGGGTGGAGGTGGCACCTGCCACCCCCACCCAATCACTTCCTCCTCAGCTTGCCACTCAGCCCAGACTGACTATTTGGCGTGCTAGGGAAACTCAAATGCCCATATCTCTCCCTACCTTGTTTTGACCAATCAGCTCAAAGCCGGCACGACTCTATGGTGCTGCTCCCAGTCACAGCTGTTCGCGCCAAAATTCACCTAGAGGCGGAGGTGCCGCTACCAGTCACAGGCGCCCCTCACCCTGTGGCGTCCCGTGACGTCACAAGGAGGGGAGGCCTACGACTGGCGCGATGTCTCACATGGTGGTGGGGGGGGGGGGCGACGTTCACCCGACTGCAAGCTTCTTATAACTCAAACCTGCCTGTCCTGACACGAACATTTTCTCTTGCTTTATCTGGTCTGTCCTGAGGTCGCCAGCTGGGTGTTTATACTCGTGTCCCAGCAACACGTCAGTGGTCTCATTAATTATCTTGGCTAAGGATGCAATGTCACGTGCAGTACAAGGTGTCACTAATGGTCTCATAAGTATATATATATATATATATATATAATATATATATATATATATATATATATATATATATATATATATATATATATATATATATATATATATATATATGTCGTACCTAGTAGCCAGAACGCACTTTTTGGTCTACTATGCAAGGCCCGATTTGCCTAATAAGCCAAGTTTTCCTGAATTAATATATTTTCTCTATTTTTTTCTTATGAAATGATAAAGCTACCCATTTCATTATGTATGAGGTCAATTTTTTTTTTATTGGAGTTAAATTAACGCAGATATATGACCGAACCTAACCAACCCTACCTAACCTAACCTAACCTATCTTTATAGGTTAGGTTAGGTTAGGTAGGTTAGGTAGACGAAAAACAATTAATTCATGAAAACTTGGCTTATTAGGCAAATCGGGCCTTGCATAGTAGGCTGCGAAATGCGTTCTGGCTACTAGGTACGACAATATATATATATATATATATATATATATATATATATATAGTTATATATATATATATATATATATATATATATATATATATATATATATATATATATATATATATATATATATATATATATATATATATATATATATATAGCCCTAGGGAATGGAGGCTTACTTAAACTCATCAGTTAGTTTAAGAGTTTACTGAAGAAAAGCATATATACACATATAAATTGCATAAAGAAATTGGTTACTAGAGGAATCATCCGCTGGTGGCAACACTCTTCTTGACACCCCTCTGGCAACACGATCAGCTGGCTGGGCACACACCTTGCGCCTCTGGCAGCACGATCAGCTGACAGCTCCAACTGTCAGAAGGTCGTGACTCTCCCCCCGCCTCTATCAATGCGATCAGCTTGATGTTTCAGAGTTTGTTGCTGGCTCCTTGCCCACCAGCTACCACCTCCAGGATCATAACATTCCCGCCTTAATGCTCACACACACCAGCTCATGCCTAAATGAGCTCTTGGCCCCTAGCCTAATATTCTGTCACTTAGACAATAAAATAATGAGTAGAAATGTTCACACCATATAAAATACCCTATCTCGCCTAGATCAAAAGGGGTAAAGGGAGGGACAATGATCTATCTTATATCATTCCAACCACGAAGCTGACTCGTCCTCTGTTGAGGGGTGCTGAGGTTCCTGGTACTGGCTTCTGGTCTCCTGATGAACAGTTTTCACACACACAGGTTCCTCCGTCGTCCTCGTGGTAACGCGTCTTCGCCGTGATGATTCTCAACAGGTACTGCCTTAATCCTCCCCTTGTCCGGGGTACTGGAGACAGGTACCTCCTCTACTCTCAATGGCACTGCCGACACCTCGCAGTCCAGCACAGCTTCCCCACGCCTCACTGCCAGTAGATTTGGCCAGGCCGTAGCTTTTCGCTTGATGTGGAATACTGGTCCTCTGGGCGTCCCAGACGTCACCAGCCCAACGTTCCCTGTGCTGCAGACTCTTGATAGAGCTCGTAGCTCTCTAATCCGGCCCGTCCTTGCTTCTGGGAACTCCACTGAAGTTGGATGGCTCCTCAGACTGAATGCGGAATCGAAGCGAAGCTTAAATCTACTGATAAGGGCTCTCTAGATCCGGAGTTCACTCGAGCGCGTCCTCCCTCTATGGCGGCTTGTGACGTACTCTTCCCGCCTAGGTGCCAGCCGCCCCGAGAGCCCTCCGCCTCGTGACGTCACACCGCCCGAGGGCTCTCGTCATTGGTCACTTCCGGCACGTGACCTCACCTGGCCAAACAGGTGCCGGGCGTATCACGACGCCTTGGCGGGAAACAGGATGGCTCGACACCGTCTTGTGCCCCAAAAGGCGTAAGCCCCTTGCATTATCAAACTTAGCTGGCCATTTTACAGCCACCTTAATCACGCTCCACGCTTTCCCCATATGGAAATGTTCCCTGAACATCAGAGAATACTTAGGTTACGGAGATATAACTCTTCTAAGCTGGGAAGGAAGAAATATAAGGGTGGGACACCATCACACATGCAGCACAAGTTTATGTGCAGCACAAGTATACATGCAGCACAAGTATACATGTAGCACAAGTTTAGGTGCAGCACAAGTTTATGTGCAGCACAAGTTTACGTGCAGCACAAGTATACGTGCAGCACAAGTATACGTGCAGCACAAGTATATGTGCAGCACAAGTATATGTGCAGCACAAGTTTACATGCAGCACAAGTATACGTGCAGCACAAGTATACGTGCAGCACAAGTATACGTGCAGCACAAGTATACATGCATCACAAGTATTCGTGCAGCACAAGTTTACGTGCAGCACAAGTTTACATGCAACACAAGTTTACATACAACACAAGTATATGTGCAGCACAAGTATACGTGCAGCACAAGTTTATGTGCAGCACATGTATACATGCAGCACAAGTTTACGTGCAGCACATGTATACATGCAGCACAAGTTTACGTGCAGTACAAGTATACATGCAGTACAAGTTTATGTGCAGTACAGTAGACGTGCAGCACATGTATACATGCAGCACAAGTTTATGTGCAGTACAAGTATACATGCAGCACAAGTTTACGTGCAGTACAAGTAGACGTGCAGCACAAGTATTCGTTATCATGGGTAGGGGTTTTTAGAAACTGGTTATTGGACCAAACTGATACTTTCTTACTGACAAACCGAGACCCCTAATCACTCCCTGAGAAAAATATGACCGACTACGGCAAACACACTTCTGCTGCCGTCAGTCAACGAACAATGGACACTGGAGTGCTTACAATTAGTTGGAAGATTCCCCCTTGTTCTTGGAGAGGGTTTCAGCGGTCACCTTTATTAAGAGGTGCGGCTCCAAACTGGCCGAGTTGTCATGAGTAAACACCCACTCGAGCCGCCGTGACTCCCACACACGCTCCTTAATGTAGGACGATTTCCTAAATCCCCCTTGATATGTTACTGACCACTGTCATCTAATTTGCAAACGTCTCTCTCTCTCTCTCTCTCTCTCTCTCTCTCCTCTCTCTCTCTCTCTCTCTCTCTCTCTCTCTCTCTCTCTCTCTTCCTCTCTCTCTCTCTCTCTCTCTCTCTCTCTCTCTCTCTCTCTCTCTCTCTCTCTCTCTCTCTCTCTCTCTCTCTCTCTCTCTCTCTCTCTCTCTCTCTCTCTCTCTCTCTCTCTCTCTCTCTCTCTCTCTCTCTCTCTCTCTCTCTCTCTCTCTCTCTCTCTCTATATATATATATATATATGAATGACTGAAAACTCACACCCCAGAAGTGACTCGAACCCATACTGCCAGGAGCAACGCAACTGGTATCTACAGGACGCCTTAATCCGCTTGACCATCACGACTGGACATAAGGAAGTGATAGACGAAGCTATTTGAACCACTTCCCCGCCGGCACTCGGATGGTAATCTTGGGCATAGCATTTTATCAAATCACATCATTCTTTGGGGCACACGTGAGGAACACAAATGCGAACAAGCCTGAATGGTCCCCAGGACTATATGCGACTGAAAACTCACACCCTCTCTCATACAAACATCTCTCATTCGCATTTGTGTTCCTCACGTGTGCCCAAAGAATGAGGTGATTTGATAAAATGCTATGCCCAAGATTACCATCCCAGTGCCGGCGGGGAAGTGGTTCAAATAGCTTCGGCTATCACTTCCTTTTGTCCGGTCGTGATGGTCAAGCGGATTAAGGCGTCCTGTAGATACCAGTTGCGTTGCTCCTGGCAGTATGGGTTCGAGTCACTTCTGGGGTGTGAGTTTCAGTCACCTAAAGTCCTGGGGACCATTCAGGCTTGTTTGCATAATATATATATATATATATATATATATATATATATATATATATATATATATATATATATATATATATATATATATATATAACTCCAACAAGAAAAAATCAGTCTCTTACACTGAGTCTTTCAAGTCAATAGGCATTCAAACACTCCCTCATACATCATTTCTCCTGATGTCATAAATCCCCTCAATCCATATGATTCTCTGTTCTATTCTTCGAGTTCACTACTAAGAACATCTATCTTGGTCCTCAAAATCAGATAGGTACTCCTGCGGTTCTTCCAATATCTGCTGCAAATGAAGTCCCACTCGAATGTCAGTGACGCTCCTCCAAACGGCTTCACAAAAGAAACATGTAGCTCACCTACACTGTTTGAAGTTCACTATGCCAATGGCGTTCTCTTCCTCAACTTGAAGTTCTATTCCACACTGCAGTTCACTTGAACTCCAAGCTCTCACTTAGAATTCAGCCCCCACTTGGAGCTCAGCCCCCACTTGGAGCTCAGCCCCCACTTGGAGCTCAGCTCCCACTTGGAGCTCAGCCCCCACTTGGAGCTCAGCCCCCACTTGGAGCTCAGCCCCCACTTGGAGCTCAGCTCCCACTTGGAGCTCAGCTCCCACTTGGAGTTCAGCTCCCACTTGGAGCTCAGCCCCCACTTGGAGTTCAGCTCCCACTTGGAGTTCAGCCCCCACTTGGAGCTCAGCCCCCACTTGGAGCTCAGCCCCCACTTGGAGCTCAGCCCCCACTTGGAGCTCAGCCCCCACTTGGAGCTCAGCCCCCACTTGGAGCTCAGCCCCCACTTGGAGCTCAGCCCCCACTTCGAGTTCAGCTCCCACTTGGAGTACACCATATAATCTTCCTCAGATGCGAAGTTCTTTCATTAACTTCTCCCATACAAACCTGGAATTCCATTACCAATCCATAATAACATGTTTCCCTAATAAAATATATATATATGTATTCACAATAATTAAACTCCTCCTTCCAATATCACTTTCAACACTCCGGCTCTGCTACGGTGGGTTCCCTCCACCCATTTTGGACGAGTCCACTTCGAAATCAAGCACCGACGCGACGCTCGGGTTGCACATGAACACAGGCGATGAAGCATGTGCTACTCCTGCCTCCAAGCCTCCAGCATTTCCCTCTCATCTCTAACTCCTTATATTTGTTAACTGTCTTAATAAAATATTTATTCTATATTCATACACGTTCTCTACAATTGCTGGGCACACACTCAAACACTGGTAAACATTCTATCAACTAATTACATGCGCTTACCGCAGAAATAACGATGGGCGGCACTTGCCCACGACCCCCAAAAGTATGGTGCTCAATCAAGTTGCCCGCAAAAATCCTTAAGGACTGCATCACAAAACTCCTTCCACAAAGGAGTTTGGCAAAACTTCTGTTTTGTCAAAGAGTTTGACAAAACAGACTCGCCAGGCCAACTCGTTCTCGCACTTTCGTATAGTCAATATTGACTTATTAAATACGTGCATATGTGACATACCTAACATACTAGTTTACCTTGAAAAGCTATTTAACCTATTATAGGTATAGATTAAGTAATAATTGTAATTACGAATCAATAAGATGCTTATCTTAACATACTAAGAAGGTTAGGTAAGGTCGGTGTTTTCTATGAAGCTTTTCCAGGTAAACTAGTATGTTTAGTATGTCACATATGCACGTATTTAATAAGCCAATATTGACTGTAAGAAAGTGCGAGAACGGGTTGGCCAGGCAGGCGAGTTTGTTTTGTCAAACTCAAAGTCACAAAGGCAGGCTTTACAAAGAAATGCCTGCTTCCTTCCCGCCACACGAAAGAATACACATATTAGATTCCACACACGAGCGACCACCTTCTAGGCTTCAGGTTGCCTCTAATATCTTCACACTCACAGAGAAATGGCATACAACGTCCCTTACAGCTTCCTCACACTTGACAACACTCAATAAACTTCACTCACTCACTAAACTAGGAATTATATTCTTCCTTCTTCCCAGGAGGTCAGCGACGTAACGTCCTAACGACTGTGGTAACTCAAGTGACACGTTACGCTCTCCGTAGGCGTCACTTCACGTCACAAAATGTCGACATTTCATTTAATCTAACTTTTAACAGATGGTCATCCTCTGCTTGTATTATTTTAAGTCACTGACGTTTAGTTAATAAACTGCCTTCCCTGACAATCCTAATGTGTGGTCAGACGTGCAGAATAACTCTCACTTGGTAGACTCGCTCCACAAGGCTACCTGGAGGTTATAACAATGTACAGCACATGTATACGTGCAGCACAAGTATACATGCAGCACATGAATACGTGCTCCACAAGTGCACATGCGGCACAAGTATACGTGCAACACATGAATACGTGCACCACAAGTATATGTGTAGCGCATGTATACGTGCGGAACAGATATGTGTTCAGTGCATGTATATGTGCAGCGCAAGTATACATGCAGCACATGAATGCGTGCACCACAAGTATACGTGCAGCACAAGTATGTGTGCAGCACATGTATACGTTGTGCACATTAAAAATGTAATCAGAACCCCATAATAATAATTATAAAAATAATTCATTGCGTCGGGGGACAGGCAGCCAGCGTGTATTCACACACGTTAGGCTTATATAGAGGTCCCCCCCCCCTCCAAGGATGAGCTACTGACCCCGCCCAGGTTGCAACCCCTCAACAAGTTGACTGACTCCTGAATACCTACTTACTGCTAGGTGACCAAGTAAGTGATAGGAAATACATCTAACCCTTTCCGTCCCGCCCGGGATTCTAACCCAGAATTCTCGATTGTGAGTCGAGAACGAATCCGACTGT